CCTTAAAATGGCCGCTATTCGGCTATCGTTAATCGGATCATGAAAAAAATGCATGTGCATATGTCCCATATAATGTGTGATGTATGAGTGAAGTTTGAACTTAATCGGTCCATGCATGTTCGAGATACAGGTGATCACGGACGCACGGACGCACGGACGGACGCACACAGGGCAAAACATAAGTCCCCGTTTTCGGACTGCGTCCGAACGGGGACTAACAACAACAATGACAGACAGACAAGCTAACTTTTATACTTTCATTTCATTACAGATAAAGCAATAAAACTGAATGAACAATCACCCAAAAAATTATTGCACATAATCATAATTATCTCCCAAGATACAATGAAACTATAGAACTGATATCAGAGCACATTGATCATTCGAGAGACATTTATTGATTAAACAAGGTAATATTTACTTTATTGACATATTTGACTATCTTACCTGCTTCATTAAAAGCATTCACATTCAGAAGCTGATCCATCTCTTTAACAGTAATGTCTTTCCTATCATGTCCTTGTTTCCAATTTTCCAAAGTTTTCACTGTTATGTCATTACCAGCAGTATTACTATAATGCAAAATCAATTTGAATTATTCAGACCAGGCATATCAATAATCAGGTCTTACTTTTTAACCTTTTCAACACCAGATTTTCTCGACCAAGTTTTTCTGTACTTTTTTTTATATTCTTCAATATTTCTGGAAATGAACCCTAATTTTGGAGCCAACAAAATTTCAGTAAATTTTCAGTTTACTCAAAAAATTTGGCTATTTTTGTCTTCTGAAAGAAAGTGCAGACTATAAGTGGGACTATTTTGTGAATTTGTGATAAAAAAGGGAACTGGTGGTGAAAAGGTAAGATGAGTGATTACTGTAAAATACTTATGCTTGGAATTTATTTTCGCTATTTTTACTGAAGAGGATGATTTAGTGAAAATAAAATCCAGGGAATAAACCTTTTTTTCCTATATTTCACATTCAACAACTAATCAAAAATCAGTGAAAATAAATTCCATAAAAGTGCCCAAAAGGACTTTTCAGCGAAAATTAATTCCAGGTAAAATAGTATTTTATAGTACTCCACTCGTTCAAATCAAGATCCTAATTATCTCTCTGCCATACATGTACATATTTTGAAGTGATTTTAACTACATGTATTTGCTGCCCAATTTGTTTGGACTTTTTTGTATATTCTTCAATATTTCTGGAAATGAACCATAATTTTGGACTCAACAAATAAATCAAGTCAATTTTTAGTTTTTACTGGTAAAACAGATAATAGCATAGCTCCCATAATTTCTTTCATCACAGTGTTCTGGAGAGCCATTTCTAGCTTCTACACCATTTCCGAGACACCAGGCCTGCATAATGTCTGGTATAATCAACCAGTTAAAGATACAGCTTAATCACATTACTGTAAAACCATTTATTTAACTGACAGCTAATTTCCTTATTTTGATGTTTTGAGCATATTCACTGTGATTTAATTTTACAAATGTGTCAAGGAAAGATTTACTTTATAAGCAAATTTTACCCATTAGCAAAAATAGTGAAATTAAAACCCAGTGAAAAATTAATGCATTTACAGTATGTGTTCCTATCTTTTGAAAATATGAAGTAAAGTTTTACCTTTGAAGAATAGAAAAAGGACAGTTTAAAGGGCATGTCACAAAGATATGGGAGAATCAAGTCCTATAAGCATGGCTCTATCTTTCAGGGATATGAGAAATTAAAGTCTTAAGGTTTTATTTAGGAATAAGAGGAGGTGAAGTCCTAAAAGTGTCTGCCTTTCAGTAAAATACTATAGGAGAAGAACATGTTTTAAGGGTGTGTGTCTCTACTTTCAAGGAGTCACGATAGGGTATGTCTCAAGATGAGTTGAAGTCGTAGCTAGATCCTTAATACTAGGTATACCCACACACCTCACAATCAATCATTCTGTTTGTGTTTTCCCATTCTATGAAATTTTGTAGGCTTACCTCAGGAATATAAATATGTTTTTCCTGTAATCAACTCCATCTATTTCCGGATAATGATCAAGAAAGGGTTTGAGTACGTCGATTAATCCTGGGTGCATTTTGTCCATTTCATCAAATATAAACAACTGTCTTTGACATTGAGTCACATTGCCCTTGATCCAGGAAATCAACTGATCCTATGTAATCAAATATATTTCATCTTAGTAGGGTTAAAGGGCAATGGTCATCATGCAGTACGTGTTCAATTTTCATCTAAACAAACAATGTATTTTAACCGAGGATTAAACGGGATGACCATCGCCCTTAAACCTAAATCAGACATCGATGAAAAAGTTATTTTGAACAAACTTGAATATTGGTATGGTGAGTCCTTATGTCATGTAGCACTTGAAGTTGATGTCAATATCGTTGAAAATGGTACAAACATGAATACCTTTGAAAACTAATTGGCCTGATTTGAACAAATGTACCAATAAAAACAAAGAAAAATCTTTATCAGCCACAAGAGGGCAATATTACCTTGTAATGGTCAATGTCCTTTTTGTGCGGGAAATGCAATGTCGCAACAAACAAGTGGACGTACTTGCTGTCCATACCATTCATGTAGATATTATCAGCAATAATACGACTCACAAAGTTTTTCCCTCCACCAGTCCATCCATGGAATGATAGCACTAAGGATTTTGTGGGGTTGGGGTTGGTCACATGACCCTGAATTGTATTTAAAACCACTGTCTGCACCAAATGCTGTCCATACACTTTCTGCTGTAAATCCATGGAAAGACCTGGAAAATAAATAAATAAATAAATAATTATGAAAATAAAAAGCATGACAGAAAATTGTACAGAGAACTTCATGAAAACATGAATATTTTTTTATATAAAATATTGATAAATTACTCATAAATTTCAAATGACGGTTGAAAACAACTTGACCAATCATAATGCATTACCGAATGCAAGGCAGTCCTCAGCCAATGATTGAAAGAAACTTGCAAAGGCTCATGGGTGATTGGCTTTCCTAAATGACATATTTGAATGAAGCATGAGATAAATATTGTATAAGTATTTTATAAATCTTTATAACAAACCTTCACGAAATTCACTGTCTAAATGAATGAATGAATGAATGAATGAATGAATGAATGAATGAATGAATGAATAAATAAATGAATGAGTGTGAATAAATAGTAACTACACAAGCTTTATATTAAATTAAAAGATAACATATTTAAAAGGTGATAAATAATCTATACTGGATGACAATTAATATACTTTATAATTATAAACAATATTTTTGTTTATGAATGCTCTTTCCTATTTTTAGTGTTTTCTATAAACCAAAAACTTTACCACTATTTATATGCAGATATTGGTAATACATAAAAAGCACAGAACTGTGCTTCATGGAAAGTGTATCAGTGAGCTGGGGCTTATATTTGTATAGGCATGTGTAAATTCTTATAAAATTATAAAAACTGTTTTCATTTTAAATCAGTCCCATTAAAATCCAAATGAGATGATTTGATTGGCTAAGCTCAGGCTGGCACCCCTCTCCAATCTATGAAGCACTAATGCATCAATCAAACAGAAATCTATGCCACTACATGAGCTCATACAAGTTTATAAACTAAAATGAAGTTATCATTTTAGTTTATAAATATTTAGGTTTGTTGACTCCAGTGTACTACACGCCATGAATTCTCAAGGCAAAATTTATAGAAAAGTAAATGAAATACTTTAAAAGTCTATGCTACAGTTATACATGTATGTTTCAATTTTCTATACAACTCTGAAAAAATACCTCAATTTTTCACAATGTTATAATAATAATAATAATAATGATAATTTTATTACACCATACAGCGCTTTCAGAAAAGCAGTTTCCATTTTTGAGGCCTAATTATAAAATATTTATAAATAACTGTGGTTGATAAATTAGAATAATTGCTGTTGGATATAGTTCCTGATATGAAAGAGACGAACCTGTTTGCATGTATGCAGTGGGAAACTCGAAAATGAACAGGGTACAGTATTGGTACATGTACATGATTGGCTTTGTGTTCCATCATAGAAAAGCATGTGACTTATAGTACCCAATATCCAGTTGTCTCAATTGGATTTTAATGAAAAAAAACACTTTAATGAAACTTGACAATTCGTTTCAGGTGGAAATTTAAATGAGCAGATTGAAAGCTTGTAAACATGTTGTATGTTTTTTGTAATAGTTTCAGATAATCAGAGTTACATGATAAGTTTGCAATCACCTGTGGTGATAATGATAATAAATTTAATGCTATTGCTTTTGTGATCTGAAGGCAAGAAACTGGTCAATGCACCTAGTGTACAGAGCTGCTCATTTTGTATCACATGAACATAATAAATCCACAGTATTATGAAAATTGTTACAACTTGAAGTGATTAACCCTC